TTAGGGTTTAGGGCTTTAGGTTTAGAGTTTGGGGTTTAGGGTTCAGGGTTTGAGGTTCAGGGTCTAGGGTTTAGGGCATATATAGCGGCCGAAATGATCAAGATTAGAATAGGGTGCCCGTAAAGGGTTTCCGGCAGAGGGGTTTATAGGGGTTTAGGGGCCGTGATAAATAGAATTTGGGCTTTGGCGGTTTCATGTATGAAGATTCGCAGAGAGGACTCCTAAAAGATAAATTAGGATTTAGGGCTTAGGGTAATTCTGCAGGCTTCCGCTCTGAACTCTTTCTGTTGCGCCCATTATGGAAACATTTTCAGTAGCTCGTATCGAAGCCCTTATGGAAGCTCTTTCAAAGAACTTTCCGGCCCTAAACCCTAAACCCTAAACCCTAAACCCTAAACCCTAAACCCTAAACCCTAAACCCCAAACATTTAGGCTTCTCGAGTCTTCCGGATCAGATCCTGAGCTCGCGACCCCAAGTTTTCGAAAAGGTCCTGGTGTTTCGGCTTCAGGCTTTAGGGTTTAGGGTTTCGGGTTTCGGGTTCAGGGTTGAGGGTTTAGGGTTGAGGGTTTAGGGTTTAGGGTTTAGGGTTTAGGGATGGGGCTTTGGCGTTTGGGGTTTAGGGTTTTGGGGTTGACAACCCTGAACCCTAAACTCTACACCCAAAACCGAAAACCCTAGAACCCTAGAGCCCTAGAACCCTAGAGCCCTAGAACCCTAGAACCCTAGAACCCTAGAACCCTAGAACCCTAGAGCCCTAGAACCCTAGAACCTTAGAACCCTAGAACCCTAGAACGCTAGAACCCTAGAGCCCTAGAACCCTAGAACCCTAGAACCCGTGAACCCTAGAACCCTAGAGCCCTAAACCCTGAAGGGTGTGGCATGGACTCAGGAGCTGGGGCTTTCGAGTTCAGAGGTTGGCGGTGAGGGTTCTCCTCTGCCTGGCACTCATTAGGTAAGAGAAAGGAACCTTAATACTTCGAAGGCGATTTCCGGGGCCTTTTTTTAGTGCAACATTTCTTCTATTGTATAATTGCAAGTGAACCATAAGAGAATTCTGGTACGTAGTTCTTTATTCCGACCCCTGTAGTTTAGGTTTCGAAGCCTGGGCTCAGGCCACTAAGCTCGGTATTAAAGCTTTAGGGCATAACCCATCGGGGTCTTGCACAAATAGTTGTGTAAGGACCCTCAGTGTCAAGAACTCCCAACAACGTTCTTAAAACCCAGAAGGTCGGGGGCAAAGAATGCAAGGTCGGCCGAAGAAGTGTTGACACTAGAAGGGTGACGGCATCAACTCATTCACGGCTGGGCACTCAAACTTACTTGACATCCAACAACCATCCCCCCTAAACCCTAAAACCTTAGCTGCTAGCTGTTATCCTTTCCCCGGAGCAAAAAATCCTACACCGCCCAGCCCCGAAGTCCGGCAAACAAAGAGGTTGGGGAAGTTCCCCAGCTCGTTCGCGACGGTCGTAGACGGATCCATGAACCTTACTGCTCAAACCAGTTCCAGGGCTGCTGGAAGCCAGTCGAAAAGTCTTAGGGTACAGTGGAAGGGCGAAGAACGTAAGAGCTATGGACCCTAAACCCTAAACCCTAAACCCTAAACCCTAAGACTTCAGAATCTTGGGCTTTCTCTTGAGAAGGCGGGCTTGAGGTCGGAGTTATTTTGTGCAGGGATGCAGGTTTCAGTATCCCAAGCTCAACCCTAAACCCTAAACCCTAAACCCTAAACCCTAAACCCTAAACCCTAAACCCTAACGTCTTGTATCTTGTGCCCGTATCAGGGTCGGCAAGCAGGGTTTGGACTATATAAGGGCCCAAATAATTAGAATAGGGTACTGGGGTATCTTCTACTAGAATTATGATAAGGAGCCCTTAACATAGTATAGGTAATTATTTAGGCCCCTGTATTTGGCACATTCCGGGAAAGATGCCGGGATACAAAACACGATCAGGCCAATCGCCGAAGGATCGGATGCAGGGCAAAACGAAGGCGCAGCTCTGGTGAGTCGGCGAGCTTTTACCACCGGTTTAGGGTTTAGGGTTCAAGGGTTTAGGGTTCAGGGCTTAGGGCTTAAGGCTTAGGCTTTAGGGTTTGGGGTGTAGGGTTCAGGGTTTAAGGGTTAGGATGTCAGGACCCGTAGGGAGGAGCACAGACCGCTCGATAGATGAACCCTCCAGTCGCCGATGCGAAGTCGAAATACACTTGGATCTAAGTCTGCAGCTCTATTTGAGCACGTGATGGAATTTATGCGCATCTTTATCTTAAAACCTGTGCAGAGGTTTGAAAGTACGTAGATGCATGCTTGTGATTTTGTGTGTGTATGTTTATTGTGCATGCATAGCTGTGCCTGCATACATACGTGCATACATGAATGCATACGTGCCTGCAGCAAGACACATACGTACATTAAATGTCCATGCACGAACGAACAAACATACAAACATACATACATACATACGTAAATACATACATACATACATACATACATACATACATACATACATACATACATACATACATACATACACACATACATACATACATACATGCGCACGAGACCAGCACGCACGTTCACACAGGTCGGATGTCTGCACTCAGTGTACGCATGCGTCTGTTTCAAGTTTGTGCGGATGCTGACGAAAGCAACACCGTAACATAAACATGGTATGACACTAGAGCTGGCTGATAGATAGATAGATAGATAGATAGATAGATCGATAGATAGATAGATAGATAGATAGATAGTTAGATAGATAGATAGATAGGGCAGATAGATACATGGGTTGGACAGGTAGATTTGTAGATAGCGAGTGCGCTCTAGACAAAAAGCCTGTGGTGTTGGAAGTCAAGGCTTGGAGTAGTGGGGTGCAGCTGCTGACTGGAGAAAGTAAACCACGCAGCCCTAAACTCTAAACCCTAACCCCACCAGTAAACCCTAAAACCAAACCCCAAAGCCCTACAGCCACAAACCGAAAAGAAGCCACGCAGCTCGAAGTAGCACTCGTCGACCAACACGCCGACATTTGGACACTTCCGCAGCACCTGCGACGAGGTGCGAGTGCTCTTGGAGGGTTTAGGGTTTTAGCGTTTAGGCTTTAGAGCTCAGGGTTTGGGGTTTAGGGTTTAAGGGTTTAGGGGCTTAGTGGCATAGGGGCTGAGGGCGTAGGTTGCGTTGGGGAATTTACTTCTCGCAGCAGCACGACCGACAATTTTGAAATTCTCAACTTTTGCTCAATATCCGCCGAATGCGGCAGGCAAGTAACCAACGATACTCAAGTCAACTGTCATGATGGAAGTGCTACGACTAGCAGCCATATGCAGAAGAGCATCATGCGTAGCAACACTGGTGAGCTGGAGACGAGTAGCAAGAGTACAATAACAGCATCCTCCTATGATCCCTATTGTAGTTGTGCGACAAGGCCCACCACAAATCTTCTTCGAATAATTGGGTTTAGGGTTTAGGGTTTAGGGTTTAGGGTTTAGGGTTTAGGGTTTAGGGTTTAGGGTTTCAGGCCTCTGTACCAAACATCACTAAACCCGATAAAACCTTGAGAAGTCACTGTTCTGAGTTATACACTGCCCTATACCCTGAACCCTAAACCTCAATAAAGCTCTAAACCCTAAACCCAATGCCCTATACCCCATGAAAAGCCAGCATGCATCTGCACCTCGAGGATGGCATCCCGCGGAATCTCAGTACCCGTGGGGTTGTTCGGGTTGCCTGGGCCGACGTGTTGCGCAGTTTCAGGGTTGAGGGCTTAGGTATAAGGTTTAGGGTATACCTGCGGCGTGTCTTTACCGACCTTGTTAAGGAACTATATAAACCATAGTTATATGGAGCCCTAAAAAACTAGGTCTTTTCGGCTACAGGTAAGGTTGAGGATCAACGGTTTAGGTTATAGGGTCTACAGCCTTGATACGGGCAATAACGGGCTTTAGGAGTTCAGAGCTCAGGGTTTAATATAGGGGCCTTGATAATTAGAATAGGGTTTTGGGGAAAATTCTACTATAATTATTAAAAAAGGAGGCCCTAACATAGTATTACCCTCAACCCTTGAGACAACCCTAAACCCCAAAACAGTATTCGTAGTCATTTCGGCCTCTGTATAAGGGCAAAATCAAGGTTCGAAGTTTCTGTTTTGTTACCCTAAACCCTAAACCCTAAACCCTAAACCCTAAACCCTAAACCCAAAGCCCTAAACAGCGTCCGGGGACGATGGTTTCGAGCTACGAGCTTTCTACGAGCTAGCCTGCGTTTGGGGCCCTAGGGTTTCGGGGTTTAGGGGTTTTGGGGTTTAAGGTTTAGGGTTTAGGGTTTAGGGGTTTAGGGGTTTAGGGTTTAGGGTTTAGGATTTAAGGTTTAGGGTTTAGGGTTTAGGGTTTGGGGAGGGCCCAGTGTAAAGGCTGTTGATGCAGTTGATCAACGACCCGGGATGTGTTGTCCTGGTATCTGCCGGGGTGTTACCAAAGCTGCCAACAATATGCCCGACATTTCAAAACTGTCGCTGCTGCTGCAGAGTAGAAAAAGGCAAAGGTTGTGCTGGACAGAACTGTGCCCAGTAAGACTTCAATAGTGAACTCAAACAAGCTTTGATTGAGTGTTTTTCAAACCAACAACGAAAAACGATGTTTGTTCCCGAGGAACATTCAAAGCTTTCTGCATGAGCATAGCCTGCACCTCTCTTCAAGTTGTGAGCAAGTTCCTTGCTGGGGTGTCATTGTTTGCTGGCGGACATGTCTTCGCACAGAACACGGGGTCCATGCACAGCAGTGGAAAGCAGAACCGTGTGAGGTGGAGGCAGAACCTTCAACTCCTAAGACCAGTCTTGCTTGGATTCAAGCCAAACCTCAGGCCTGACAATATAAAGCCGGTAAGGAAAGGCGTAGGTTCACGAGCCTTTGGGTTTTAGGGTTTTTAGGGGTTGCGGTTTAGGTTGTAGGGTTTAGGGTTGGGGAGTTTGAGGTCTGGTTTAAGAGTAGACTTTCTGCGCAACTGTAGATGCACACGGAGATGCAAATTTGCTTAAAACGGTGTGGCAATGTGGCGCAGCATACCCGCGGCGCTCGGTAAGGCATCGTGTGGAAGGCTTGATGAGGTCAGACTTTTGCATGTTCCATAAGATTGCTGTATGCCTGTTGAAAGGTTCTCCTGAAACCAGATCCCTCAAACATTCCTATCCTTCGAAACATGTCTCCAATGAATGCAGGAAAGAAGCTCAGAACGATCAGCGAAGTGTTCTGATTGACAATGGCTAACACCTCGCGCTCAAGCAAGAGCTACTTCGAACAACCCCCAGATCCAAAAAAGTAAGGGTTTTGATAACTCCGTTTGCACAATATAGGGGCCTTAGGGGCCTTCATGGTTACAATAGGGTTGTGGGGTATATTGTACTAATTGTAGTATAAGTATCGCGTGGACTATCATGGGACACTATTCTCAACTACTCACACTTTCACAAGGACGGCATTGCCGGTGTTTCAGGTTTCCTATGCTACAAGTAGCGTCTTGGCCGTTTAGGGTTTAGGGTTTAGGGTTTAGGGTTTAGGGTTTAGGGTCTAGGGTTTAGGGTTTAGGGAGAAGCAATTGGGGACATTCAGGATTCAAGACTGCGGATTTATGGGGCTTAGGACGTAGTGAAGCTTCGTGTATAAAGGTACAAGGTTCATTGTGACAGACTGAGGCTGCAAGCTCCAAGGCTCCAAGCCCTCACCCCGAACGTCTAAGCTCCATGGCTCCAAAGCTCACACCCACAATCCCAAGCCCTAAACCCTAAACCCTAAAACCTAAAACTGCCACCAAAAGCCCTCAAGTCTTTCATGCAAGCCTGAAGCCCCCAATACAGGTGCCTCAAGAACTACTGTGGATGATGTAAGTCCTGCAGCACCTTGAGGAGCCTAAGCTATGGGAACAATGGCACATTCCTTCTTATGGGTAATGCAGGATTTCTACCATCAACCCTGTGACAGGCTTTTCTGGTATATACGAAAGTTTTATAAAGGTCGTGGGGAATGGCATTAACCGATTACCCAGGGCTCCCTAAGCCCTAGACCCTGAACCGAAAAAACCCTGAGCCCCCAAACCCTGAGCCCTGAACCCCCCAAAACCCTGACCCCTAACCCTAAGCCCTAAACCCTAATAAAGCCCTAAACCGTAAAACCCGAATTTCAAAGCCCTAAACCCTAAGACCCTAAAACCCTAAACCCTAAAAACTTAAGCCCAAAGCCCTAAACCCTAAGCCCCACACCCCAAAGCCCTAAACCCTAAACCCCCGGAGCCCTAAACCCCCGGAGCTCCAATTTTCCCGAAGCCTCCTCCAGAGGGAAGCCCTTGTCCTGAAGATCGAGCGCAGACAATTGGAGTTTAGGGGCTCAGGGGCTTTAGGGCTTAGGGTTTAGGGTTTAGGGTTTAGGACTTTTTTGAAAGAGGGCCTTTTAGGGTTTAGGGTTTAGAGTGCGGAAGGGTCACTATGAGGGTCGCTGGGGCTTACTGTTGTTCTAGGGATTTTAGGGTTTGGGGGTTAAGGCCGCTGGGTTCGGAAATTTATCTTCAGGCAGAGCTTCAAGGGCCTACTTGAAATATCAGTGGGCACCGTAGATTGTGAGTAAAGTTGTAAGTGGCAAAGCCCACATCACTACACATCTACCTCCTACGTCCCGTGATCACAAGTAGGCTTTGGGAGACCCTTCTGTGCGGCAGCCTTCTCGATGGCATGCATAGAGAGCGTGTAATTTAAGGTGTAGGGTCTAGGGTTAGTACTGCTAATGTAGAAGCCTTAATAATTAGAATATAAGTATAGTTACCTTAGTTTTCACCCTACTTACTAAGTCCCATGATCCTTTAAGTAGGGTTTACCCCGACATCCACCCGCCAACTCCGCTGCGAGATGCAGCAGGTGCGCTAGGCTAGGGCACTCCTAGGCCACTTCGGAATCTCTCTGTTGGCCAGTGCTACGGACGGTGACTCCGGTCCACAGGAGTGGACTGAACATGCATAATATAGGGGCCTTAATAGTTAGAATAGGGTTTTGGGGCCCATTATACTAGAATTCGAGTAAGGGACCCCCCAAAATAGTATAGGTAATTATCTAGGCCCCTATATTCAGCAGCTAAAGAAGTGTACTTGTTCGTTCACCTTTCCCTGCCCCACCCACGGATGCCCGGCTTCCCATCGCAGAGTCTCGGAGGCGCCCAGCTCCGCATCCGCAAGCATCATAAACCCAGGAACCTTGAACCTTCTAGACCTACACCTACATATACACACAAAGAGAGATATCTATACATACATATACATGTGTATACGTATATGTATATATACTGCGCCGGTCCGAAAGTTCGTCGCACTCTATGTTGTTCATTTACAACAAACCTATCCAAACCCCCTTTCCCCCCTAGACTCCTCCACAAGGCCTCCGCCCTGAACAATTATAATACTATAATTTCATT